CCCCCACCCCCCCCCAAAAAAAAAAAAAAAAAAAAGAAAAAAAAGAAAAGAAAAAAAAGCAACAACACACGCAAACCAAAAGAAAAGAAACAAAGAAATAAAAAGAGACCATAACCAGAAAAAAACACACATTCTCCTTTTTTTTAGTATGCTTGGGTGAGATGGGGTGGACCTCTTCAGTTTAACTCCGTTATGTTGATTAACGCAATCTGCACGTTCTACTCATGTGATAAATGATGCTATTTTCTTCTTTACTTTTGTATCATGCAAATTTCCCCGAACTGTAACAGATGAACCTGAGGGTCAGTTTTATTCCTCATCAACCGTAAACACGTTTAGTAAACTGAGTATAATCTTCCTGAGTAAACGGAAGCAACATTTGTCACGTGTAGTGCTCATGAGTATCAAGCGATAACATTAGGGAATTATGAAACTGAGCTGTTCAGTTTAACTCCTTTATGTTGATTAGGGCAATCTGCACTTTCTGTGGCTGTGATGCGATGAATGATTTTCTTGTTTACTTTTGTATCATGCACAACTAGCTCTAACTTAACATATGAATCTGAGGGCCAGTTTCGTGTGATATGAAGCCTAAAAACTTTTAGGAAAAATGATTTGCAATCTCCAAAGTAAATAGAAGGCAGCATTTGGAACATGTAATGCATGTGTGAATACAACAAAAATATTTTGGAAATTATGGAATATGAGTTGTTCAGTTTAATCCTGGATGTTGGTTAGGGCGGTGTCCACATTTTCTTGTTGTGATAAATGGTGCAGTTTTCTTGTTTATTTCTGCATCATGCAGTTACCCCTGACTATAACAGATGATTGTGAGGGCCAGTTTTGCCTATTAACCAAAATAAGTTCAGGAAAATTGATGTTGTAATCTTCCTAAGTAAAGAAGTAGCATTTGACACGTGTAATGCACATGGATATCTGACAAAAACGCTTGGAAATTATGAAATTTGTGCTGATCCGACTGTTTCTTTTATTTTATTTTATTATGGAGCTGTCCAATATGCTAGAGGCCATTCCCGTGTATTGCACAATGAGAATGGTAGTGCACGGTAAATTTATAATTTGTAAAGGATTAGGTTGAAAGAAAGAGCACCTTTAAGGTGTAGGAATTGCACATCTGAGACCAAGTAAGGAGAAACTATTTCTAAGATAGTACTGTGCTTGTATAGAGGAAAGCTGAGGTTGCCTCTGAAAGGAGAAATTGTTTCTGTTTCAAGCATCCTGACTTGATCCACAGTACTTGGTGGTTTAGGATCACTTCCAACATATTAATCTGGCAATATTGCTTCCACTTTGTTTACATTTGATAATCATCTGCTGTCTTAGTATTTCATATCTTCTGTGTTGTGTATATCTCTTCTGCATGTCAATCACCTTGGTTTTACTGTGTAACTGTCTTTTCCCCCTCATGTGCAGGTTCCAAAGATAACCTTGATAGTTGGTGGAAGTTTTGGTGCTGGAAACTATGGAATGTGTGGACGAGCATACAGTCCTAATTTCTTATTTCTGTGGCCAACTGCAAAAATATCTGTAATGGGTGGCATTCAGGTAGAAAATTAACATTTTCCTTTGCTGAAAAGATAGATCTTTAATGAACTTAGTAGTTTATTTGATTTGTGAATGCCTCTAGTCTCAGTAGTACTAGCTTAACTAGATGGAGAGAACTTTCAATTAAATGATTGTACCTGATACGAAGGATTTGGAAAACTGAGAGAGATGAGACCCTGCTCTTCCTCAAAGCATGTATATATGGACAGATTTGTACTTTTACATATAGGACTAACCTCTATAGAAGATTCCATACCTGCTTGGCTAGAAGATACTCATAGTGTATAGTTGGAAAGGCCAGAACTTTAACTTGTCATCTGAGTAGTAAGTAGCTTAATGCTACTTGTTAGTCAGACATAGAGTGTCCTATTCCCATCCACTCATTCCAATTTTCAACCACTCCCCAACCCATATGAATGTGGGCCCGATTTCAATGAGTGGAGGGGAATGTCACCTCACTAGCAAACATACCCATTTTTTATATATATATAGAAAGAGAGAGAGAGATGGGTATGCTTGGTACCAAGCACAAACTTGGTGCTTGGTAGTGAGACGACTCATTCTCATTCATTCATTTAAATGGTCCCCATTTGAAAATATCCACCCCTTAAATTATCCAACATATGTGCACCCATGTGAATGTGTGTGACACCCCTGGTTTCACACATGATTACAATCCAAGGTGAACCCAGAGATGTCAAACCTATCATGCATCCATATTGTGTAACAAGTTTCACCAATCACAGCAATATCCTCTAGTGGAATCAAAACAAGGTGCATGTACAAAACAAGCAAAAGAAAGAAGTAACTGCAACATACATGATATTGAAAGGAGTATCTCATAAATAAATCACGTCTCAACGAACATGTAATACATCTGATATTTGAAATAAATAAATACGTCTCAACATGAATCAACTGAAAATGTAATTAAGGCTCATAGCCTTTATAAAATGTGATACTAAAACTCTAATGTCTGAATAGAAATAAACTCTACTGTGGAGTCTCTACTAGTAACTCGTGTGACTGTGACTATGCAATAACTCCGTCACCCTGTGGCTCTCCGATGCTCTGAACCGCCTGAAAGGAAAATAAAATGAAAAGAACAACAAAAATGTCAGAACGCTAAAACAAGATCACCTTCATCCGCTCCCAGGGGAAGGGCTACTACATGTTGTGAAGGCTCTATCTATTAAGCATAGTTTACCTAGAAATCCTTTTTCCCCGAAACTAAAGGATAATAAGACTAAAAAAATGACTAAAACAGAAGCATTTAAGTATATCATATCCAACATCAGAGTAAAAGATATGTCTCGTGTACTAATAAGGTGAGTCTCCCAGATATAAAACTACTCAAGAATGAGTTATATCACTTTTAGTGTCCGCCAAACTCATTGGGCTGTCGAGTTATATAAATTATCTTTCCTGATTCTTTTCAACTAATAGCACCCCTGTGCATGACAACTATTAAACATTTCAACCTCTGTGCAAAACTATGCGGAAATGGAGATATAGGTTTTTTTGCCCCTGCGCACACTCGTGCGGATAAAACGACATAAGTTCCTTGACCTCTGCGCATTCTAGTGTGGATTCGATAACTTAGGTTCACCGATCCCAGCGCATTCTAATGCGGATACAATAACATATGCTCACCAACCTCAGTGCACACTCGTGCGGATACAATAAAATAGGTTCACCAACCTCAGCGCACACTCGTACGGATACAATAATAAGGTTCACCAACCTCAGCGCAGTCTAGTGTTGATACAATAACATAGGTTCACCAATCTCAGCGCACACGTGTGGATACGATGTCAAGGGAAAAGTGTACTCGAAACCATACTTAATCAAAATCCCCCTCTAGGGTACTAACACGTGTACTACGACATTATTCATGAATAAATATGACCACATATGTACTATCATGCAACTCAAGCCTCGTGCTCGCATTTCGAATCAAAACAACTCAATGTTAGGAAGAACAACCTTAGTAGTCGACTACTAAGCTTAGTAGTCGACTACACCGAGTCTACCCAAACTCTGTAAAACATAATCAGTATTAGTAGTCGACTATCTTGTATATTAGTCGTCTACTCTGTAATCAGACAGTTTCTGTAAAACCAAATTGGATGAGTAGTCGACTACTACTCTTAGTAGTCGACTACTAAGCAGAAACATGCACATCTTCGTGTACATACAACACTTAGCAATCGTCACGTGTTTATCATGCTTTAATACAGTACAAATCAAGTAATTACAAATCAAAAGAATCATCTCCATGATTATTTAAACCCTTAATTCGACTAATTAGGTTTAATCTTCTCATTAGTCAAGAATTGACATAAACCCTAGTTATCGATTAAATTAACATGAACATGCTTGCATATTAAGCTTGAAACTTATATAATTTCGTTTATTCACATTTATAGAACCAAAATACCCCAAACCTAGGTTTAATCAGATTTAATTAACATGTAAGCTCTTTATATTACAAGGTTAGGGTTTTGAGCATGATTAACACATAGAAAACAAGATACAAACGAAGATCTACACCCCCTAATGATCATGATCACGTTTCTATTATAAATAAAAGCAAAACATGTAGATCTAACATCAGGTTAAGATTTTATATCAAAAATCCTCTTTTTATTATGTTAAACAGTTAAATCTAAGCATCAGAATATCCATATTACTTAATAACCTAAGATCTACACTATAGGTAAGGTTTGGATGCAGGAGATCTTACCTCAATCACGGTGTTGATCTCCTGAATGTGTGTACAAAGTCCTTTCTTCAGCTACAACCCTCGATCTCTCCCTCTGCTCGATGTCACGTCTCAAAACGCCTCGAGGAACTCAAACACGGCTCTAGGGTTTAGGGGGAAGGAGGTGGTTGTATTCTCTGGTGAATAATCTAAGGAATTAGGGTTTTTACGTGTTTAAAAACTGAAGATATCAGTTGGGTTCGAAAACAACACAAATCCGACCCGAAAACTGAAACCTGGCACGTCCAGGAATTCTCGATAGTCGACTATTCCTGCTTAGTAGTCGACTACACTATAATATTTAAGATTCTGTCAATTGATTACGGGCTCTTAGTAGTCGACTAATCTGAACATTAGTCGACTGCTAAGAGTCTGTGCAAGCTGATTCATTCTCATACTCGGGAATATATAGCCGAAACGATCTTAAATCAATTCCTAATGTACTCAAACATCAAAATATGCTATTTATCACAGTATAACATATTAAATATCATTTATCACATAATATTCAAATTTATGGGGTTTTACAATGTGATTCCCTTTTTAGTAATTGGATGGGAATGAGCCACCTCACTGCCAAGCGCCACGCTTGTGCGTGGTACCAAGCATGTCCATATATGTGTGTGTGTGGGGATTGATGGTTGTGAGGTGGTAACTCATTTAGCAAAATAAGCTAATAAGAGTTGAAATGGTGAGGTCCGTACTTTTTGATGTGACAACTAAGGTGGATCTGATCACATGTGCATCTCTTGGTAGCTCATTTTGTAAAATAAGTTACCGCCATCATAGCTATAGTAGTTAACGGGTATATACTGACTAGTAGGGTATATCGCTATATAGTATTAGTACTATATATATACTATATATATGAGTAGGCGAAAACTTGTGTCAACTTAAGTGGACAGCAAGAAAGTTGACCACCACCACATTTTTTAGCAACTCATATGGTTAGAGAATTTTTGCATGATATGAAAAATATTTTTTAGTATTAATAAATGAGTGTGCAAGAAGTTTTGGCTGCGACATCAATATAAAGTTTGATAGGAGTGTTACTCCTCTCTCTTCTCTCTCTCTATATACACAGTCATACTTATCATACTATATATTACCGGTATTTATAGTAGTATATATTATTTATCGGGGAAAAATATTCATAAGATGGCCCTTTGATTCAATCTAAGGAAGTGCCTTTTGATTCATGAATTAGACTATTCCAATTGTTGATCCGCTCCATTCATTGTGATCTAAATGTCTCAAAACATCTATAAGATGGAAATCATGATGATTAAATACTTCTAATATATTTTTTTCATTATTTCTTTAGTCATATTGTGTAAAACCGTTAATTTTATAATCACATGATGCATGAGTAAATACAACCTAATATGGCTAATTTTTTATTTGTATACAATCCAAAATATATAAATCAAAATGAACGGAGTGCATCTAGTAATTTGATAGCATATAATGTAGTTTTAAAAGTGCTACTGGTTCCGAGCTGATCCGGGCCAGGTCGATCCGGACTAACCTTGAGTTCGGTTCGAGCTAAAGCCTGGTCATTTGGGTTAGGAACAACACCCAACCCAGCTCGCTAACCCCGCCTATTTGATCGGCGAAGTTGGTCAACTCAACCTACTACTTTTTTTTTAACTTTTTTAAATTTGATTTAGATGAATTTCGACCAATCAGTTGCAATTTTATTGCATATTGAGGAAGGTTTTGAACTCGACCTACCAATTTTTTGCTTGAGAAATATATACTTATAACATTGTTATTGTTTTTTAGATTACTGAATAGTTACTTATAGTTAATTACTAATAACTAATTTACTTTACAAAAAACTAATGTCATAATGGAGATGGGGGTGCGAGTTAGGTTTTGGACTCGGTCCGGGCTTGGGTTCGATATGAGTTGAGTTGGATTTCAAGGTCGGGTTTGAGTTCGTCTTTGGTTTTCAGAAATGGATGTTGTATATGAGAATAATTGGTATGCTTGGTACCAAGCACCAAATTTGGTGTTTAGAAGTGATGTGGCCACTTCTCATCTACTTATTTAATGAGTGGATAATCAAGTAGGACCATTTTTAGCTGGGCATCTTAAGTGAGTGGATTAGAAGTAGCCACATCAATACCAAGCACCAATTTTGTGTTTGGTTCCAAACATACTCATTGCTCTCTATGTGTGTATGTGTGTCGAAATACACACACTCATACATTGCATATGTACATCAGACGCACACAGCGCACTGCACCATACCACACTCTATTCAAGCACACACTTGAATCCCCTCATTACCCAACTCCTTAACATCGTGTAAAGCAAGAATGACTTTATTTGTAAAAGAAGAGGGTTTTAAAAATCAGGTTCGCTATGGAAATATGAATATTCATGTCAGTTATTAGTTTTTTGTCTTTATTATTTTATTGCTTTTTTGAATAATGTTTCTCTTTACTGTGTGGATGTTGTATAATTCTCAGATAGCAGAGGAGTGTTGCAATCAACACTTTCGGTCCTTTTTTTCTACTCATGGCAGTCCCGTGTTATTTTTACAGGCTGCTGGAGTACTTGCCCAGATTGAAAGGAGCAACAAGAAAAAGCAAAACATCGAGGTATCAGTTCAACTTGTACCTCTTCCTATGTAACTGTTAACAACTGTTATAAGTAGAATTACTCCCTGCTGCAATGTTGAATTTTCCTTCTGACTTTTGAGTTTTTCACTTGCTTGATACAGTGGAGTGAGGAAGAAGAGGAGAAATTCAAGAGCAAAGTTGTGGAAGCATATGAGAGAGAAGGAAGCCCATATTATTCATCGGCAAGACTCTGGGATGATGGCATCATAGATCCTGCCGACACTAGAAAGGTTCTTGGTTTGTGTTTGGCTGCTTCCGTTAAGAGTGTTACCGAAGAGACCAAATATGGTGTCTTTAGGATGTAACCATCACTTGATGAGCAAATAAATAATTGAAACCTGTATGATATTTGTCTTAAGAATTTAGCATTCTAGCAGATGTATTCTGTACTAGCTGTCTAGCTCTAGCACAGAAACTGTTATCAGGACTAATGTTTAAGACCATGTGGTGCAAAGCAGAAGCTCGATGATATTGCTCTTTGTTTTGATGGTGTGTGTAAAAAGCTGGAGCACGACTCAATGGAAATATTGCATTAATCTCTACTATGTGCTTGTTGAAATGCAAGGTTGGGTTCTAGCATTGTTTTCTATATTCTGATAATGATTTCTTTTCAGCGAAAAAGTGTGGTTATTTTCCATAAGAGCAGCCGGTTGGCTCATTGTTACAAATTGAAAGCTACTTAAAAGGCATATACATTGTGGAGCCATATGGTTGATAGAATGGTACTGATATCTGCTATAGAAAAAATAACTGTAGGTAGAGTAGTATTGCACTGTGATGTTTTAATCTTTAAAAAAACTTCTTGTATCACCTTTGAAGCAATGATATTATGAATTTCTTTCACTATGTTCTTCAGGGATACTCGCCTCTTTCCTATCAGAGAACGGTAGCCTTCTTGGATTCCATAGAAGGATTCCTGATTGTGGTGACATCAACTGCTTTATTGAACTTGAGAATTCTATCAATTAAAGTTCTTAAATGACTCTGGAATAAATTGGTTAAGCTATTGAGTTGATAAATGTTAAGCATGATTATCATATCTCATATTTATATGTACCTGATATTATAATCAAGATACATTCATACACTGATGTTTTTTTAAGCCATCAGATAATGATCTCTTAAGACTAAGCAAGAAAGCATCTAGCTCTACATTACAGAAAATCACACAAAAAGGAGGAAAAAGAAGAAACAGAAACATCATAGCAAAGGTGAAGCTGAGGAAAACACTTTGGGGAAACGGAAAATAAAAAAAACTAAAGCAGAGAGACACCCTTACATCTGAAGTTCAATGCAAATGCATCACACATTGGAAAAAGAACATGCTCGAGGAAAATCAGATCATTAGTCTCCATAGTATGATATTTGTTCTCAAAGTCATAATCACTGCGAAATATATTTCTAGCACAAAGAAAAACAAAGCAAAAATCAATTTTTTTTATAAAAACCAAAAATTTAGAAGAGAAACGCCTTACTTCTGAAATTTAATGCATAAGCAACACGTCATTGATGGAGAGATTTGAAAAACAGAAAAAAGAAAATGAATGAGGAACATGACATTATAATTCTCAATAGCAAATATTTATTCTCGGATTCGTAGTCGTTAAAAAATAAAATATGAACATAATGGGCACTAAGAATGAAGAGGACTACACTGTCGCTCACAGTTGAGAAAAACTCATATGGGAATAATTTCCTTCCTTGTTGTACCAACCTACTCTAGGAATAAATCTGAGAAAAATATTTTAGGAGAAAAAAGTTTCCGGAGGACAGAACCCTTTTTTTAATTATTAATGCATATGCAAGAAGCACTTATTGAACAGATTTGAAAGAGAAAAAAAAAAAAAAATCATGCACGAGGAAAATGACATTACAAGTCTCAATCCCACATTTGTTCTGTAAATCATAATAGTTGTTAAAAAATAGATTTCATACGTATAAAAATAAAATACAAACACAGCGTGCACTTAGAATGAAAAGGTGAGAGCACTACTAGAAGGGCTCCTATCACTTCGGCTGATCGCTTCATCGACGATAGGGCTTCCAAGCTATATGAGAGATTAATGACCAAAATACCTTTGTCAGGTCGTAACATGGATTTTCAAACTGTTGATATCGATTCTGAACTCTATAATGTTTTTGCTCATCAAGGGTGAGTAGATTTTATGAAGATGAAGGTTTTGATCTATCCCGAAGCTATGCAGAATTTGTGAGCAATATTCACCACATCCATGATGCATGATTCATGACTCGTGTATTCCTGTTTGGTTCAATAGAGGGTAGGAATAGGATTAGGAATCCTATTTTATTTATGGATTCCAGCCTAATCCATAAAAAATTTATAGACAATTTTTAGTTTATGGAATCTAATTTTTTTTTGTATTCTATGTTTGCTTCACCCAAAGGATTAGGAATAGGATTAGGAATCAGAATAAAAAAAAAGAGAGGTGTCAGAAATTCCACCCAATTCCTAGCAAATGGACTGGATTTGGATTTCCTGAAATATACACTGTTTGAGCCACTTTATAGATTAGCAATTCTATAATTTTTTTTGAACCAAACTCAGGATTAGGATTCATTTGGAATTTATTAATTACGAAAACGCCATTGTCAGGTCCAAATACCATTCCTATTCCATAAAATTGGTGAAACAAACAGGCCCTAAAGGGACATCCATATTTCCATTGGGGATATAGGTAAAAGTACGAAGACTCAAAATGAGGGTATCGATATTTTAGGGAAAACTCTTGAAGACTTCGATTTGACTAATCGGGGCACAATCTCGTTACTGATACAACATACAAGTTGATTCTTGAGAAAGATACTAAGCCAAACCATTTATCCAAGAAGATGGGATCCCTGTACTGTAATGCTCGGACCATTGCAGGCATTGTGATGACTAACATTTTCCCGAAAGCGTGTGGTCATGATGATATTCCTCACCAGGCTCGTCTTTTGGTGGATCTACTTGCGCTCGTGTCACGGTCAATCTTTCGAGGTTGTTGTTCTACAATCTCACTCACATTTCCTTCTGTGTGCAACTGATCATGTTAGGATATATTTGATCATGGATCTCCTCACGGCGAAGCTATTCTCTTTTGGTGTTGTTGCCACAACTTCTGGCAAAGCTAACTTCACCGGCAGGATTAACCATCTTATGGATGCCAGGCATAGACGTGCTTCTAAGGAAGTTGATCCTCCTTCTCCTCCAGCTCACGTTCTCAAGGTTGATCCTCCTCTAGTTGTGTGACGCCCCTGGTTTCACACAAACCTACAGTTCTAGGTGAACCCAAAAATATCAAACCAGCCATGCACCCACACTGTGTAACAATATATTTCACCATCATAGTAGTATCTCTCTAGTGGAATCAACAATAAACAAGTGTAGGTACAAAGCAGATAAAATAAAGATAAGAATGCAATGAACATGAATATTAAAATAATAATTATCATGTTCTAACTAAAACAAATGAAGTACAACTGATGTCCGAAATATAAATGAAATATCTCAATACATAAGAGTAAACTAAAATAGTACTAAGGCACACATCCTTCCAAAATGAAATATAACTCTAACGTCTGAAAATAAACCATAACTATTGTGGAGGACAAATAAACTACTAATAATAAATAATGATGGAAGCTAAGCCAAAACTCCATCAACCTGCGACTCTCCGGGTGCCTGACTCGTTGCCTGAAAAGAGGGGAAACAACGAGTGTCAAAGCACTAGCGAGAACATCTCCACCGCCCCTAGGGGGAGGGGGTAGGTGTAGAAAAAAAAATACAAGTTACTACATATAAATATATAAATCATCTATCCTGAACTAAGAGGAAATTGAGATTTAGAAATCCACAACACGAGAATTAGTACGTCGAGCGAAATAATCCAGACAAGGAAACATTCATGTATATACTATGTCTCAAATTGTGAATTGGTAAATCCCAACTCCAATTCATATGAATAAAACAATAAATAAAAGAACAACACATTACTAAATCTCATCAAATACAAGTCATGTAAAAAATAATACACTCTACCCTCGGTAGATGCCACAGCAATAAAGACAAATATCCGTCTAAGATACGTGGTGTGTATATATAACACAACCTTATTATCTACTCTCGAAGTGAGTAATATGGGAGCAAAGCACAAACTCAAATACTCTATGGAGAATAAGCATATCAGCCTAAACCCGAAAACCAATGATGACTCGGACACCCTGCGGAGATAGGTTTATCAACCTAAACCCGAATACAATGTGCCTCGAACACCCTATGTAGAATATGCATATCAACCTAATCCCAGATACAATGATGCAATTTAGAGTCTAGTCTAGCAATGGTCTCATTGTAGGAATATTGACTAACCCCACTCAAGCATCCACAACTATCATAAACCGAAACAAAGTCACTCTCTATCGTGAAAAAAATCTAAATGTTAGATTTCACACCTCAACTGCTCATGCGAACGCAAACCCAATATGTGTACTCTAGTGGCCAAACAAATGTCTTGATGTGCGGACCTGAACTTCATGCTCACAATCAACTCACGTGACAAAAACATAAAGTTCACAAATAACACTAGACCGGTCGATTGATGTATCAGCATCGGTTGACCAGCGGCATGCACAAAGCGTGCACAAAACAATTTAGCCTTGACTGATTGACTGATGCTTGTGCTTCGGTAGACCGACCAGAGGTAAGTCTTCAATTTCCTGCAAACATCTATTTTTCTTACAAAAATCAAAATCTTCACATAAACACATGTTTATAATATTGTTTTAATCTAATTAAGGTTCATACCACTTCATGAAAACACAAATATAAATATTTGAGGGGATTCACTAACCCTAACATGATTATATTTATAAATTCGTCATGAAAACAACTAACTTTATCAAAATCTCATGTTAGATCTGTATAAAATCTTAAACCCAAATCAGAGAATCTGTGTTATAACTTTTTAAATAAAAAAGATTAGATCTTTATGTCATACAGTTCAAAAAGAAGTGATCTTTATACATAATCTGGGTTTAGAAATTTGATAAAACCATATGAAAATATTTAAAAATAGGGGATGGGTTTGGAGGATGTGTAACTCGCCTCAACAAGTCGTGTCGAACTTTCAAACACGCGTGAGAATGATCCTCCTTCACCAAAAGCCGCGGATCTCGCCCTCCTCAAGATTCTTGCTTCTCAAAGCTCTCAAAACTCACAAAATAAACTCTAGGGCTTTTGAGGGGAGAGGGTGCCTTTTGTTCATGTGAAAATATGAAGAAAAAGGGAAATTTTGGGTATATATACTCATATATATACAGAGAAACCCGAAATAAAATAGTTTGACCCGAAAACCAAATCCTACCTAGAATCTGCCTATCATCGGTCGACCGATTTGCTTGGGTCGGTCGACCGACCTATGTTCATCGGTCGATTGGTTTACTAGGACCGGCCGACTGACCAGAACACAAAAACTGACTTACAGGTTTTCGCATTTATGCATATTTACACTTATATACATACATATATGTACTTAATCGATCT